TTTTTTTTTTTTTTTTTTTTTTTTTTTTTTGCTTTATATAAAATCGAGGCGGAATTAAAGAGTGGACTTCAGTTTAGTCTTTCCAAAACACGACGGCAGAGAAGAATTTTGGCGTCACAAAAACAAGATACAAAGTCTTTAATTTCCTCCTTTCTTCACATAAAACTAAATTTAGAAATAAGACCTGAAACATGCCAAAATTTAGTCAGGTCTATTTACTCACTATCTTTCTGAAAGAGAATAATCGTCTAAAAATATCCTAGTGTTTCGGCATTCACTTCTTCCCGATGAGCCATGCAAGGATACCAGGATCGTTAAAATGAAAAGGGAAACCGTTCACACGTCGAACGACAGGCTCCGCATACTGTTCAGTCATAACATTGAAAGATAGCTTTTCAAATACTGACGCCCGATAAACCGTGTATACAGTTAATTACTGAATCAATAGATCATGCAGCCTGATTATCGTTTCTTTCACCATTTTGAGGTTTCTCTTCTGCCTCTTGTTGTTTTCAGAATGTTGTTGTAATGCTGCTGTAATGAATATCCGTGCAAATGAATTTTGATGACGGAGAATAGCGGGGTTTCAGGAAAAGCGTTAACGAGAGTGCTGTGAACAGATTTGCACACTTAAGTTGGATCGCTTTAAGAGTTAATTACTGCAGTAATACTTCATCAAAAAATTTTTTTTGTTAAATAGAATATAAAATTCGACAATAAATGCCATTTCTGTCTAAATTTTAAATTACATCTACTTTAATAGTTTGTCTACAAAACTAAAATTTTTTTATAAGTTATGACCGTTCATTTCATAATGACTACAGAGCCCCGCTTTTCCAAAGAACAAAAAAAATAACTTTTAACAGCTAAGAAATGTCATTTTCGCAACTTTAGTACAACAATCAGCATTTATTTTATCAATCCCCTTGCTACGCTTCTGTCTCTCATACGGCCCTTTTTCCATTCTATTCCGCTTTTGCTGCCAATTATTATTATTTATGGTCAAAAGTTTATTACAAAGAAACTTTATTTGTCCTGATAAAAACAAACAACTTCATTACAACATAAGAGAAAAAAACAGCAGGTTTGTAACATACACATAGTTACAGCATCAGCTGTGTGAAAAACACTTATCAAGGGTAGAACCCTGCGTAGTAACCTGACCTGTAAATTAACGTACGTGATTTCTAATTTTGATCAATCTATAATCTTAATTACAGACACATTAGCAGTACTTCCAAACGTGGAATTAAAACACTTCAAAGGAAGAGACAAGAAGTGCGAAAGAAAAGAAGGCATAAGAACTGTAAACAGAAAATTGTTTTTAAAAAATTAAACAAGCGGCAATATTAAGCCTAAACGACCTCAATGACACATCAGATAAATATTACACAAAAAATAATATTTACTCCTAGTTGACCTGTAGCAACGACATAGTACATCTAAAAGGTAGGCTCCATTTAAATCAAAATCTTTTCAAGATAAAAGCTTCAAAGTTTCAACTTATGTTGCAAAAAGAGCAACAATTAAAATCAAGCTCTTTAATACATATACCTCTCTACTCCTGTGAAGAAAACGATATGCCTGCAATAAAAATGCCCCCGTCAAATTCCAAAACTAAAATAACATTTACAACCTAACAAAACTCTAGCCTACCTTAAGAAAGTCGTAGAAACCAAAAAAATCTCCTTAGGACAGTTTCTTATGATAAGCAGGCAAGCACAACCTGAAAAGCCAGATCTCTGAATAATATGTCGACGTCGTTCATTTAACCCTGTATATTTTTCTTTCTACATGTCAATTGCATAAAGGAGAGCATAAAATAATAGTTTAATATGTATAAACGAGATACCGATAAGTAACAGAATGAGCAAGAAAATTTCCTTCTAAAAACATTTTTAAGCTAGATCCAACAAATTCTCCTCACGACCATCAGCCACTACCGACTCGTCGGCAAAGTTGTCGTTTTGAACTTCCGACGGTCCACTGCTAACTTGATTATTCTCTTCTTCGTCATACTTATCACTTAAGCAGGCGGAAACATTATACTTTTGTAAAACCTAAAACAACTCACTTTTGCGATACTTTTCAATCTTGGCCTTCCCTTCCAATTTTCAGAAATACTCAACTGAATAGATAGAATTTAACGTTATCCTTTAGCAGAGGTACCTTTCTTTAAAAATTTTTAATAATTTTCAATAAATTCAGAGATGAAACTTCTTAGTTTATTAAGGTTTTTGATTTAAAAACCCAATATAGATCACATCATAAGATAAGCAAAAAATATAAAGGAAAAAAAGTAGCTGGTACCCTAACGAGATCAACTTCAATAGGAAAGAGTCCTTTAGTAGGTTCAATTATAGTACGGCAATTGTCATAGGTCGTTAACATAAGACGAACGAAGGTTGACAATTGAGACCCAATGTCTTGAACTGCAAAATTACAACATTCAAATGCTAAACTTTTCAAGAGACTTAAAGTAATAGAGCGTGTACACCACAAACCGTGTTTCTGGTCCAGTAGCTCCAGCTTTATCATAACGTCATTCCTCCATTTAATAAACTTCATTCGACTTTCCTGTCGGCACCTCAACATCAACCTGAAAAAACTTCCCCACCATTTTTTAAGTTTTTTAAACTATGACTGCAGTGTTATAGATTTTAAAGTCTAAATCGTATTTAACTTTGAAGCATAAAACACTGAAAATTCAACCTATAATCGAATAGTGTATTCTCATTAATCTAAACAGAACGCAGTCATTTAAACCGTATTCAGCGCTTAGTTACCGAAGCTCTACTCCAAAATTTGTTTTATTTACAAAAGAATCGAGGGTGGTATCAAAATATGGCTTCCTCCAACCTTCTGTCTCCAATACAAGTTATAACTTCAAAGAAACGTGTTCAGTTTGTGTTCTAGCCATGTGTACAGAAGAATGTAAAAGAGGAGAAGAAAAAAAGATTAACTACAGTAACTAATTAGTTACTGAAAAGGTTCTGCAGTGATAAGCTAAATAAAAGGCAAAACAAGCCTGTATTCATAATTTCCAGTTTCCACCCTGTAGAGTGGTTCGCCGATTGAAGACGATTGAATTTCTTCGTCATCCATTTCTTTCAGTTTTAGACAAAATGATAGATACTCAAACTTGACATCCAAATATTTTTTTAAAGTCAATCTTGTGTCTGGTATAGCTTTCTCAACAAATATATTTAAGTCTCGAATAATCGCATGCAAAGATCTGATAAGTCTGAAATGAAATAAGAGAATAATTAATGATTAATAAATCTTAAAAGTTTATAATTAACAATTTTATTATTAAGAAGGATAACTCCTCGAACATTAAAATAATAATTAATAGTTTGAAAAAGCATCAAATAAAAGCTGATCTACTTGACAGTTTGCTTCTCAATTGAACGATGAGCTTCACCAAAAATCCCAAAAGTTTTGTTAGCTGATGAAAAGCTTTCTCGAGTTGCAATCTCACAAAATAAATCCCCAAATTCTGAAACTCAATCAATGCCATCCATCATTTTATTTATTATAGCGGCACATTGAAATGTTTTCGTTAACTAATGACAATACAAAAAATAGCTAAAAAAACCCCCATCCAACCTTTCTGAGAGCGGGCAACATGGTACAGTGAGTTGATTAGAGCTGTCATATGCTCAATCAGTTTTTTGTAAACAGTGGTACTGTGCTGCAGCCGGTTAAGTTTCTTGACCAGTGGATCATTGCAAAGTATCGCCCGAGATAAACCCAATGCATCCGCTGTGTCTGCATTCATCGACTCTACTACCCGATGCTTCATCTTCTTCAATGATATATCCAATGTGTAACCCTAAACTCAAAAAAAAAAGAAAAATAATAATAATGATATTGAGTTCTGCAGGAGTTAGTAACAATAAGACGATAGAGGATTCTAAAACAGTTCTGCACTGTATAAAATTCTTAAACACCAAATATAACTTACTTGTTGAGGATCTACATGAAGCACGTTGAAACCAACTCTCACTTCTTTACCAGCCTTTTTTATCATTGCTGCAACTGCAGTCTTCTTCTCTCCTTTCACTGGAATTCCATTAACACTGTAATCAATTACTGATATTACCCATTCAAATTATATGCTTCATTCCAATTATATATGGTGGTAAATATGCTAAAAAAGTTGTCAAAGTCAAAAGCCTACTGAGTTCAGTACTCCACTAATGATTGAAAAATACTCTTCATTATTTTCCCGACCAGTGAACCCGACAAAGATTACCACTAATAGATTTATAAAACGTTATTCATTTCCTTATACTATATTTAGTTTCACTTAAACCGTACACATGAAAAAATAATAAAAACCTTTTCTGGGATAATTCCACAACTTTCTGAATCAAAATTCTCAATAATTTTTGGAGGTGAAGTATATTTTGCCTACTTTCTATTCAGACCGACTAAAAAAACAATTTTCCTTCAAACAACTTTTCTCAAATAACTCCTGACAAAAATTCAGTGCATACTAAAATTTAGAAAGAAATATGAATTACCAAAAGCGCATAACTGTAAATATGTGAATGAGAGTATAGTTCCAACACTATGCCAGCTGCCTGGTACTTTAAAATTAGCCCGACATTCAATTTATGGCTACGCTTACCCGTGTTCTTTTGAAAAAAAATTTCTTATCAGATAAATCAAGTAATTTTTGGTGCGCGAAGCTCCTGCTAAACTAATTGACCTTTACAATGATTCCTCAATTGACACACTAAATAATTCGTTGTGAAAGCAACAAGCCGAAAGACTTGGTAATTTTGTTTCAATGCGAGGAAGAATGAAGTATTACGGATCCAACGAGAAATTGAACTCAGAGGTGGTACAAAGTTAAGTGATGCCGGAATACGACACTTTGGTCTAATGTTATTTCATGTTAACCGAGCAGGCTTCAGATTTACTAAAGAATTTGCAACTCAACTCTAGAATTATATTCTACTGAAATTTGTGGGTTAGGAATGGCTACAATTACTCTAAATAAGTTTTTAATTCAGTAGCTTCCATGAAGTTAAAACCTAAATATTTCGTCTCCAGCCTTAATTCGCCCATCCTTTGCTGCTGGTGAGTTGTCAAATATCTGTACAACATAAAGACATGGAGAGTAAGGTGCTCCACCGCCAATTGATATTCCAATTAGACCTTTATCATCCTTTTCCAACTCAGCAACATCACCGCTAACGTTCATCCCCAACCTGTCTTCTTCCATCTGAAATTTTTTTCTGCCTTGATATAGTTTCCTTCCTTAAACGTGCTCTAAAGCAATTATTCCATATTGTATTATTTTCTTGAAAAAAACTTGACCACTAAAAGGATAAGTTTGAAGAAATGTTTCAACAGCATAATGGACTCCAGAAACTAACTTTAACTTTAAAATTTTGCTCGATCTTCTTTACTCTTCCGATGGTTCTCAGTCATCAAGGTCCCAAGCTACGAAAATCCCACTCGAGAAGCATTCAAGAACCCATTGCAGTTAATAGCTATTTACTGTCCAAAGCAGTATTAGCGTAAGAAAGCAAGCAATTATAGCAAGAAATTTACAAATTAGTGAGAACGAAATTTTATGTTATTCATCTTTATAAGTTGGATTAAATAGTAAACTCGAAGAAGAGAAAGAAAAAAGAATGTGAATTACTATTTTTTATAATCACTGTTAGATTTACACCACAGAAGCGAGTTACTGAAAGCAATGGCATGCAATATCAACAATATCAAAGTATTAAGCACACCCGCTAGGCGACTGTATTAAAGCAACAAAGGTCCTTATTTGGTAATCACAGTTTAACTATTAGGGACATCCTCCGACGACTACTTTCTGTTTCACAAAGTAAGATACACTTCCCTCGCATATATCCATTCTTCCTTAACAACGGTTCTCTCTATCCCATTTTTTACCTCCTGCATTTCCAAAGAAGTCTTACGAAGAAACCAAAAACAATGAATTCCAACTAGAAAAAGGTTTAAAAATACCTCAAAATTGGAATCTTCTACTCAAAAAGTTCCTCTGTATTTTTTGCTAATTTAGGAAAGTCTAAACTTATTGCAGCAGGCCAACCAAGCCATTAAGTTTGCTAGAAACTCTACAAAAAGCACTAGTGACTAATTTAGCTGTAAAAGCCAGAAAGTTACTTTTAAACAAGCTTTTATGCTAAACGAGCAAAAATGACTGACGAAGTTATTTCTTAACAGACGGTTACACAGGTTGACTTCATAATTATAGACGATAAGAAGAAACTGATTTTTAAAATACACATTGTTCAATTTTTTCGGTCTTTCATCAGCTAAGTATAACTTTCAGATGAAAAGATTCATGAAATGATCTACAGAGCACTTATTTTTAATTCGACAAAGTTCCTTAAAAAATACTGCATTCTTGCAGCAAACCATACAAGCAAAAAATTTCAACCTGAACTACAAGATTGTGGAACTGTCATCCAGGTGAGTAACTATCGAGGCGGAGATGTCACTGAATTAGCTAAACAATTAAAATAAAACGATTAGTTGCTGTATGACTAAAATTTCAAAAAGTATACTATAAAGCACATAAAAACCTTTTATAGCTTACTTGTCACTAAAAATTAATAAACTGTTGTAGCAAAATGTCAATAAAACTATGGTGCTCTTGGTCACAGAATTATGGCTGAGTAGTCAAACGTGATGAAACACTGTTTCTTATCACCGAATTTTATGAAAAACTCATGTTATCCTCTATATGTTAATTAAATATATAAGCCTCATACTTTCGTTTCAAACTATTTCCTAGATATCAAGGTTTCACAGTGTTGACCGTGGATAATCTGTGCTTGAAACACTTTTCTGTTCAAACTGTACGATACAGTAAACAGGTCTTTTCCATCAACGTGACAAGAGATAGGAATAACTTTCAAAACAAATTAGTCAAAGCAACATCGAGCATTGAACAGAATGCTACAAGTTTATACAACGAATCTTTGACAGCAGTAAGAAAACAAAAGAGTAAGTTAGTTATGTAAGACAAACCCTATTCTTGCTCTCCTCCGAAATATGAAAATGAAGAATTTAATATTTGTTTCCTCCGCTTTTTTCACGCTTTGTTCCTCCGCTCAGAAGGTCCCCCTAAAATTCATCAAGGATACCTGGCGCCTCTTTTTTTCTCCACAGTTCGTCCTTATAGATGAGACATAATGTCAAGGGTAGGGAGAGATAGAGAAGACTCGCTTTTGTGAGGAACAATGTTTTGATTGCTATCACTGATAGCTAGCAAATAGAATGATTACAGCTTTAGTACATTACTATGCCTCAGAAACAGCCGAGAGATGGCCAATATGTGAACCGTTCTAAAACAGATTTCCTCTTCTGTAAAAATGTTACAAGGGCGTTCTGAAACCTCGGCAGCACCCTGTGATTTAGACCTACATTTCAATCGCCCACCAATGTAGAAGAGCGATCAACTGTGTGAAGATATTTCACTACCCTCGCATCTGTCTTTTTTTGACCACTCAATGATACAAAAACTCCTTCTGCAAATAATCCTTTTTCATGTACTATGCAGGCGAGCTAAGTGTGATACAGTCAGTACAGAAACAAATAATGTCATTTACAAACCAAAAAATATCCCTATAACACAAAAATAATCTTATTTTCTCTGCAACCCCTCTCCTCACTTCCAGTTGAAAGTTGAATTCCCACCTAAACTGAAATTCGGTTGCTTGGATTTACCCTCCCCGACCTTCCCAAAAAAAGAAACGCACCATTTGGTAAAAATTAAACCTCCTGATTCCATAATAGAATTCTGTTTCTTGTCTAAATTTATCATCTTCATCTGTATTAACTTCTTTTATATAAAAAATATTTTATGCATAAACCACTTAAAGAATCATATAGTCTGAAGCAAAAACCCAGCATAAATTAAGCAGGAATAGACAAAATTGAGAAAAAGTTTAATGGGTAAAAAATTAGCAAAAGAATCCATGCGTTAAAAAATAAAAAAGAAGCAAGAAGCGCGAATCAGTGAATAGTTAATTCATATACTACACTCACTTTTTTGCCGTTACACAACTTAACAGGAACTGATTGCTTTTTTTTTCGCTTGAACATCGCCTAGAAGTAGCAATTTTAAAATTAAATATTGAAAAGAAAAGAGGTTCAATAAGCCAATTTGTCAAAAGAAAAAAAAGTATGGTTGGTAACAACGAGTAACCAGCAGCCCTCTATGAACAACGATCAAAATATTAAAAAATGTTCTGAAATGATTGAGAAGAGTTAATGGTAAAGGTAAAAAAATCGAGAACTATGGAAGCGAAAAGCCGTACAAATATGTCGCAGTTGTTAACTGATACATACAAGGGAAGGAATGTGTGTGCATATCAAATGAACAAAATTTACATATAGATATTCTAAACACATAAACATATATGCATTTGTCAGCAACCAACGCGTCAAACACGGATCAATAAAGCGCTTCAAACTGCTTTTCCATGTTGCGCTGCGCAAATTTGTAATGAAAGACTGGCGCTGGATGTATTGATATATCGCTAATTCTCGGTATGACCAGCATCACCAATACCTAATTATTCAAAATGGCTTCTACCTTCTCTACCTCATTTTAATTTCATCTACAATTCACTTCTTAAAATAGCCGTTCAAATCTTCTACAAACAAGTTTTTCTATAGTTTTTCACAATTTTTTATCAAACGGATGACATTGCAGAAATGCATAGTTACTAAAAAAAGTAACTAAAAAAATATTAAAGAAAAATAAAAAGTTTGAAAAAAAAAAAAAAAAAGAACAGTCAGTCACGGTAAATGCTAGCAAATTTTTTGGTAAAAAAAGTAGGATAAGCAAACCATGAGGTACAAGATTGTTGCCAACAGTCAGCCACAAAAAAATGACCACTGAAAATTGCGTAAGTGGTTATTCTAAAATAACATCAATAACTTAGTAAAGGAAGAACTCTTGACAACAGTAAGTTCTAATAAACTTTAGCATATTCTGGACAAAATAAAAAATTATTTGAATTTGATACTGTCATATTCAATTTCCATTTTTAGATATCATCGAACCTTAAACAAGTTAAAAACATAAACTACAAATTTACTAGAACATAATCTTAACAGATTTCCCAAAAAAAAAAAAGTTCAGATCAACCATTAAACTCAATAACAGCAGTACCGTCTGAAATATTCAACACTGCTAATAGAATAAATAAACCAAACTTTACGACTAGAACAGATTCCCTGCAGATACCACCGATTTCCCAATGTGATCAGAAAATTGCATA